TGTGGAGACAACTTCCTATTTGCTTGTTGGGAATTGAGGTTCAAGTGTGAAATGTTACAAGGACCATAGATACATGACTGGAGTTGGAAATGGGTGCTGAAAACCAACAACACTTCCCATCATGGGCTGTGCTGTTAAGGTGTTTTGCTCTTTTAGCTGCTGACCATAGGCATTAGGAACATCCCCACTCCTATCTAAGGCAGGATTTCATAATACCTTGATTTCAAATATGCCCTGTGTGTGATACTCTCCTGGGATTGCTGCATTCCTAGAAACAGTGGGGGAAAGCTTACAAGTTTACCCAATTTCTGAAGAAAAAGACTGGTTTTAGAGGTCTGGACTAATGTGGTTTGGACAAAAAGATATAATTGAAGAATGTCATAAATGCCAGGAAAATATGGAAATGACACTTTGACAGATGCTCTGAAGATCTCCCAGCCCAGCCAAACTGGTTGGTAACTGGTGTCTCATCGACAGAGGAGGTCTTCCTGGAACTAACTCAGAAGATAGTTCAGAGTGGACCAGTTGCTTTTAACCACAGCATGCTGTGGATTTTTCAGCATAGGCTGGAATTTGGAAAGAATACCTCTCAATGTTGGTTTTAAAAACTGAGTGATTATTTTAGTTAGCAAGTATTTAATGCATACCTACTCCAAATGGATCCATAACCCAAACATGAAAACAGACTTAGCTTTGAGGGCTAGGCCGACCCAGACTCAGGAGACTTCTAGAGAGCAAACTGGTAATTGGATTGAAAGGGACCCCAGCACAACAGTATCTTTCTGAACAAAATCCCTGAAAAAAATAAGCCAGAATAACAGAACTGGAAACAAACATTTTAGGTCCTATAATGAAATAATTTTTGTAAAGGTCCTAGAAGGTGAGCAAAAAAACCCTGCATTGTATGGTTGATTTTTCTTATTCTGTAATGGAAGAAACATAAGACCCAGAGAAGTTAAGGGCCTTTTTAAGTAGAAGTGTGAAGTAGTGGATGAGACCAACTTCTTAATTCCAAGTCTAGTGCTATGTCTCTTCTCTGCTCCCTCCCAGCTCTTCCTGTTGCCTTCCTGAGGTTCCCACAGCAGCATAGTTTATTGTGCAGAGCTCTGATGAGGCCAGGATCAAGTGTAGAGGAAGTCATTGTCCGGATGCATGTGGGCAACTGGGCTTCTTTCTCTCGCACTTGGAGCATGGGCTGGTTTTGATTGGGTGGCTGGCTATGATAGCAAGTATAGAAAGTTTCTGGATGACTAGACCCGTGGTCGGCACACTGCGGCTCGCGAGCCACATGCGGCTCTTTGGCCCCTTGAGTGTATCTCTTCCTAAGCCTTAGGAGTACCCTAATTAAGTTAATAACAATGTACCTACCTATATAGTTTAAGTTTAAAAAATTTGGCTCTCAAAAGAAATTTCAATCGTTGTACTGTTGATATTTGGCTCTGTTGACTAATGAGTTTGCCGACCACTGGCACTAGACAATTCTGCTTAAATCTGTTACCTCTCCAGAGGTTTACCTTTTCAATATATATTTTTCCATAGAAACCTTAATGGAGCTGGTGTTTGATCTTCTCCCCTCACTCCAAGTGACTGTGTCTCTCCCCATACATGGTAAGGAACAGGGCAGTCCCTGTGATGGGCTGGTACCTAGCTCTCAAGTGGACCATATGGAGGGAGGCAGCACTGCTTCAGGGAATCCTGGTACAGAGGCTCAGCAGGAGAGAAGAGGAAGTCTAAGGTAAAGGATAGGGTTAGGAGCAACCTAGGGCAGTGCTAGGGTTTTCAGTGACAGGATAAGAAATCATGGAAACTCCTCTTAGAAACCCCATTATCTGAGCTATCACAGTCATGGGATCTTATTATTTGGACTCCAAGCTCTAGCTCTTCTACCAGGAAGAGAGGGGTAGACACTTTTATCAGTCATTAATTTGGGTGAGTACTTTGGGTTTTATTACTAAAAACTAAATAGAAAAACAGCTGGTAAATGAGTATCTCTCTATCACCTATCTATTAATATCAGCAAACTCAAATAGGCTGTTGGTTCTTCTCAACTTTTTGTTCCCACATGAGTGTAAAATTTATGTTGGGTTCTACAAAAGACAGACTCTTCCTTCTCAAGGCTTTTGCTCAGTCTGAGGTTTAAAAGAGTTTTATAAACTGCCCATGCAAGGCAAAGGTTGGCTCCATTGGGAGGTGTGACTGTTAAATGGTTCTTGGGTTGGGTGTCCTTCAGGGGACCCTCAGCAACTCCCACAGTGACTTACATCTTTGCACTTACCCTGGTCCCAGCAGTGAAGCCTAAACGACTTTTTTCTGGGAGTCTCTTCTATAAGAACAACAAAAATCTGTTCTGTTCTCACTCCCATGCTCCTTCTTATTTTATCTTTTGTCAGGACCCCAAGGTAATTCTGGCAATTGCAGGCCACCTCAGAATGTGGCTGTTTTCTGTTTAGTTTCTGGGTCACATCCAGGTCACCTTTGTGGAGGACCTTTTGAATTCTCATACTGGGCTGTTGTGGAGTTCAAAACTGGGAATGCCTGGGTCCTATCACAGTTATGTTAAGGGACAAAGGAACAGTGTTGGAATTAATTTTCCAAATATTTACTTTTTGAAATAGGGATCGGTGTTGGAAATAGAATGATCTAGACCAGTGATGGCGAACCTTTTGAGCTCGGCGTGTCAGCATTTTGAAAAACCCTAACTTAACTCTGGTGCCATGTCACATATAGAAATTTTTTGATATTTGCAACCATAGTAAAACAAAGATGTATATTTTTGATATTTATTTTATATATTTAAATGCCATTTAACAAAGAAAAATCAACCAAAAAAATGAGTTCGCGTGTCACCTCTGACACGCATGTCATAGGTTTGCCATCACTGATCTAGACAGTCCTTGCTGTGTAGAGATCCACAGTATGATGGGCAAGCAGGCATGCAAACAGAAAATCAAAAAGCTGGTGTGGTATTCATAGACTGGTATACATGCAGTGCTAGGATAGAGAACAAAGTCATTTCCTGTATGAGAAGGAGTCATAAAACAGGTGAGACCTGAGTTGAGCTATAAAGAATGATCCGGGGTTCATCAAGCTGGAAAAGGAATAAAAAACTTCAGACCAAAACAGCATATACAACATTACAGAATGGATGTTATGGCTAATCTACTCTAACTCAAGTGAGACAAGATGGAGATTGTATTTCCCTCTAGAGTCACTGCAATTTCCCTTTCACTTATTGGATTTATTTTTTTGAGAGATAAATAGATAGATATGAAGGAGGGAGAGGAGAACCAAGAATAAAGATCAGCTTGCTAGGCCATTGCTTGGTATTATCATTGCATAGTAAACAGAAGGGTAGCATCTCCTTCAAAATTATTAGTTTAGTTGTGCCAACACCTAGCAACTTCCTATTGCTGAAGTTGTGAAATTGAGCCCATAATGGAACATTCTACAAGCCTTAGTGACTGAGTCCACTGAGCAGTGCTTCCTGGAATCCAGGAGACTGCCTCGCGCTGTCTTTTCCAGGCCAGTGCAGCACCCGAACTGGAGTCCTCTGATCTGAAGAGCATATGAGCCTGAGGCCCTCCCTTGAGTTACAAGTACCTGAACTCTGAGAAATACACTCCCAGAGGAGTGGGCACCACTGACTCTATGAGGCTCTCAAGGGAGGTGGACTTTTGGTCCATCGAGTTTGGTGAAGGGCCCTAACCCTTCAGCAACTGTCACAAAAGGACTCTCCCTGAAGAACAGGCCCCTGGATGAATCATAGCTTATGGACATTGAAGCTGTACCACGGAAAGACCTGGCCTCTTCCGGGAGCCCGGGCTCTGAGTAACTCCCCTGGGAAGGCTGCCTGACCATGGCTGTCAGAGCCGGTGTCCAAGTTCTGATCTGAAGGGAGCAGCACAGAGCCAGCTGCAGGTGTGGGCATGTCCCTGGCTTCACCCACAGGCCTTCAGGAGAAAGATGTGCTTTCTGCAAAAGGCCTGAAGAAAAGATGAGGCTCATGCAGAGGCCCTGCTGTGCAGGACGATTGCTTCCAAGAAGCGGTGCATTTTTAGTTTCCCAACTGCGCATTTGGTCCCCACACAATTTATCTTCACGCAGAATCACATACCTGTGTGCCAGATGTGCACAGCTGTATGTGAGCAACTGCTGATCTGTCTGGATCACATGCCAAGTGCCTGTTTCTTTAAATTAGGGTGGGTTGGGATTTGGGCCGTGTGAAAATTTCATTTTGAAACCAGAAACCGAGCAAGCCCTGGCTACACGGGGGTTTGAGTGGAGCACGATGATAAACCAAGGCTGAATTAGTCTTTTCCAGGACCCCCCAGAACCTCCCCCATTCTCAGCCCGTGAAATTCAGCTGCATGCTGGGTCTGCAGAGGTTGGGCTATCTGGAGACTCAGTCCTGCCAAAGTGTGCGGCCCCTGTAAATGCTTGTGGTGAAACTGCAAAACCTCTGCCCGGCCCTGGGGAGCTCTGGGAGCAGAATAGAACTTGACATTTTTAGTTTGTGTTTCAGTTTTTACCCTCTGGACTCAGAAGCAGCAAGGCCACAAAACACTCAATGAGAACTACCACCCCAGCGGCCAAGGTGCAGCTGTGCACAGGAGAGAGGGACCCGAGGCGAGGAGAGGACCCTCTCCCCTAGACGCCCAAGCCTCCGTGTGCACTGCGGGGACCCACAGCACTGGCACCTGGGCATTTCCCACCGGTCATGCCGCTCTCTCCTCTCATGGCCAAAGACAGTGAATACTAAAGTGATTCAGCCCCATGTTGTCATTCCCGCACTGATTTATTGGGTATCTGCTCCTGCTAGGTGTGTGCGAGGCATCATTAGAAGGTAAAGTGCTTTACACATAATGAATGTTCAATATGTGTGAGTTGCTGATGAGATTATTGAAAAATTGCCTTTTCCACCCATATTTTTTTTTTTGAGACCTACCAGGTTCCAGGCACTATGTACAAGTCTCCCATTAATTCTCACAACTCCATAAGGCAGGCACTATTTTACTATTTCCCCAGTAGGAAGACAGGCTCAGAGAGTTCACAGAACGGACTCCAACATTGTATCTCCTATACGGTAGAGCCAGGCTCAAGATTCAGCCACGTCTGATCTCAAATCCCGTCTTCCTACCACCATGCTGCTGTCACTCCTCTCTCAGCTGTTACCAGAGTCCTAACAGAGGCTGCTCAGTCCAGGAGTGCATTGCATGTGCTTCTCCCGGCCCCTGGGCCACCCCGCTTTAATGTGTCCCTGGACGGACGCCCGCAGTGCGACCTCTTAGTTGTTACACGTCCCAGTTCCACTCTGGTTCTCACGCGGGGCCGGCCCTGATGAATCAGCTCCCAGTAACAGGCTCAGTTTGAATTTCAGCAGAATTCTCTAAAAACAATAACCAGATGCAATTCAACTCACATCGTGTCCACATAAGGAATCCATTCCAAGAGAAGTCAGAGGATGCACTGCGATGCTCAGTCAGATGAATGACTCCTCATCTGCCCTGGGCTCGCTTTAGAGCTCAAAGAAGAAATAACATCGAGATTAATTTGCGAGCTCAGTCTTTGACTCCGGTCTCAGGAAGAATGCACGTATAATTAAGTCTTATAATGATGACCCCTTAGATCATAGATCACTCACGGGTAGTGGCTCCTTCCAGACACCTGCCACACTCAAGGCAATTTCCTCTTTTCCGTCTCAAGAACTGTTTCAGACTTTGCTTTCATACAGGCTGCTCAGAAGAGCCGGGCCACCATCCTTGGAGTAAAACGGGATCCTCCAGGAATTACATCATTTATTTTTCAACACAGATTAATTTAATTTGGTTTAGTTTTACAAGGGCGTGTGATCATAGATTTGATAACCAAATAGATGCCCTGACGTAAATTTCAGTCCTGGTTTCGCTTTCTTCCAGTGAGAAAAACAAAGACTCTCAAAGGTAATTGGTATATCACCTCTCCAAGGGGGGAAAAGGGTAGGCTTTCAATTTTCTTAAACATAAAACTTAAAATCCACATATAATAATAAACAAATGGTTTAAGTCATTTTATGTCATAAATGTGCTGCCATTATTTAGTTATGAATTTTCAGGTTCAGGAATTACGCTAAAACCCAATGGTCATTATGGAATGTCTGTATATTTGATTTCCAAAGCTCCAGATAGATTTTAATGTGTTCAGTGTTATACCACTGCATTCCCCAAGCTATTTCTATATCCTTAGAGACATGTCCTAATAACAGGCCTCCGTGTCTTCTGCTTAGTGAAAAGTGTGAATAATAGCTCCAAAGAGAAGTATTTATGTATATACACACACACATATATGTACATATATATATTTATATATATGATTTTTTTAACTATAACATCTGTTCTCACATGGCCAAGTGATTGAACCCAATACAGTTAACAACTTAGGAAGGGATCCATTGAATTTTCCAGGTCTCTTCATGACCAGAATTACTTTGTAAGGAGACCCTAAATGTGGAATAATCAACATGTTAAAGTAATCTAGATGTTTATGATTTGATAACTCTTTGGTGCATTGTTTAACAACATGTTTTCAATTTACTTTCCTTCAAATAGCTCCAAATAACCCCATGATTTGGGATGATTGATTATGGGAATGCTGCTTTTACTGTACATCCAAGGTAATTTTAAAATTACATCTTCTTTTCATTGTTAAGGGGTAAAATCATTTGCAGGTCTTGACATGATTTATCAGAGAAAGGGGGACAAAGGGTCAGTGTTGGCCTCACTCTATTAGAACAATATTACGTGAGCCCAGAAGTAAAGCATTAGATCTCGTGGAAGCTGGGTTCTAATCCCAGCATGCTCCGTAATCAGTTCAGTGGTCTTAGAGAGTCCTTCCCCTCCTGCGACTCACTTTCCTCCCATAAAAAAACCATCAAAACAATTGGGATCAAAACCTTCCTGAGAGATTCTGATTCATTATAACTGGGCCAAGGCCTTGAAATACGTATTTTCTGTTAAGAACCTGCGTTTATAATTATACAGGTTTGGAAAACACCAGATTAAATAACTTCTAAGTCCAGCTCTCAAGTTCAATTCTAGAGTGAAGTTTTCCTGTCCTTTGGACATTTTTCTTTCAATATAGCCATGTTCTAACTGATGAACCTGATGTCACTGTGTGGTTGCTGGGTATTTCTCTCAGACGCTGTGCTCAAGCTTGTATGTGTATGACCCGTTTGATCCTCCTCAGAACTTTGCACTGTCAGCGTATTCGTCATGGTTAGTAATCCTACCTGGGACAACAAACTCCCAATCTCAGTGGCTTGAAACATTGATGTTTTGTTTCTCACTCATGTAAAATCTCACTCCATCTTGCAACTATGCGGCACCCGTGTCCCTCATGGGAAGACCAGGATAGGAGACAGTGGATCTTACCTACCATGATGGGAAGTGACGAATGACACTTCTGTTTACAGCTTATTGTGTTAAATATGTCACATGGCCCTGACCCAACTGGAAGACTGGGAAATATAAAGGAGCAAATGCAGATCTAATAAATAAAACTGTCTCTGCCACAACCAGGGATCTAAATTTTACAGCTTTAAGAAACTGAGGTTTATGAAGGCCAATTTGCACTTGAAGAATGTTACTGATGAATGTGTCACACAGTATCTGATTCAAAAAAGGAGGCATGCATTACTCACAATAGCCAAGATGTGGAAACACCTAAATGTCCATCAGTAGATGAATGGATAAAGAAAATGTGACATATACATAAAATTGATGTTATTCAGCCTTAAAAAAGGAAAACCTTGCCATCTGAAACTACATGGGTGAACCTGAAAGACATTTCGCTAAGTGAAATAAGACAGACCAGAAGGACAAATGCTGCATGATTCCACTTGCATGAGCAATCTAAAATATCAAACTCATGGAAGAAGAGAGTAGAATGGTAATTTTCTGGGGTTCAAGGGACGGGGAAATTGGGAGGTGATATTTAATAGTAATAAGGTTTTCCATTTAATTCCTCTCTAAAAATAAGTTTATGGATGTGACACCTGTCAAGCACAAATTTACAAATACTAATAAAATATAAAATACTGTTTATGTAAAAAAAGGCATGACTTCCAAGAATAAAACTTGTGTGTGTTTTTTTTTCCTTAGAGAGAAGAGGATTTTCTCCTAAATATATAACTACAGAAATGGTATTTTTGAAGCTCTCCTTGCTACTCTGTGTGCTGAAATCTGAAGACTTCTTCCTCCCTCCAGCCGACAGGTGCTCCCACTGCAGAAACACGATGTCCCAGGGACTTTCCTGTGCTCTACTTTGATTCCAATTTGCTCATTACAGTGAAATAGGACCCCCGAAATGTCAAAGAATCATCCTTTTCACCTTAGCTCTTTTAAGCGGTTCTAAACAGAGATTATTTCTTCACAACTAAACCTGGGAAATAACAGCTTTGTCCATTCAAAGCACACCTGTTGTAAAGAGATACTTTTTCTTTCTTTCTAGTTTTTGCCCCTGAGCAACTTCTCAGTAATTCAACAAATAATTTTCAGGGTGTTGAGAGATTCAGAGATTTTTGGAACTAGGATTCAGGAAGATAGGCCCTGTATTGGAGGAGTATCTAGTCCCCAGCAAAAGTGAAACGAAATGAAAACAGCAACAAATAACAGATAAATAAGTCACAGTAAGACATGAGGTGAGGGCCATAATCAATATACTTATGAATGAATGGAAGCCTAGGGAGGGGGACAGTTACTTCTGCTGGGTTTGTGAAGTCTGGAAGGGCATCAGCCAGAGAAGGTAACAATTTTTCTAGGCTGAAAAGTGAGGCATCATTGGTTCCCTGTAGGAGTGGGGTGGGTGTGGAACAGCGATCCAGGGAAGGAAGACCTTGAGCAGGAACTCTGAGGTGGTAGTCTTCCCATTCACAGAATGTAGTGGGCTGGGGCTGGCTGGAGATCTAGGCTTGGGGCAAATGTTCCAGAACATAAATATCCTTATGAAGGAGTTTGGACTTTACCTTACATGCATGAAGGAGGCATCGAGGTTTGTAATTATGGGTCTAATATGTGCTGCAGAAATATTTTGGTGTCCAGGAGAGGTGGAAGTCAACACTTGCACATCTCTGTGTAGCACAGACAGTAAATTGCCACCCAGTATCTATATATATATTTGTTGTTGATTTTTTACAGACAGGAAGGGAGAGGGATAGAGAGTTAGAAACATCGATAAGAGAGAAACATCGATCAGCTGCTTCCTGCACACTCCCTACTGGAGATGTGCCTGCAACCAAGGTACATGCCCTTGACCGGAATCGAACCTGGGACCTTGGAGTCTGCAGGCCGACGCTCTATCCACTGAGCCAAACCAGTTAGGGCTCTATTTTTTTTTTCTACTTCAATGTAATAATAGAAATTGTAACTGGGCATGTGACTGCTCAGAATAAAGATGGCCTTTCTCAGGTTTTCTTTCCGTTAGTACGGTTGTGGCACTAAGCTAGTGGCACATAGCTAAAGTCCCAAAGGCAGTTCCAGGCATTTTTCTTAAAAGACAGCTGGCACCTGGGGCTTCTCTTGTGCTCTTGCTGCTACTTAGAATGCAGATGTGATAATGAGCTACTTGGACCTGTTTTTTTTAAGGCCATTTGAATGGAAAAGACCAACTGCACTTTCCACCACTTGAATTGCTTTTGCATCTTTGTCAAATACCATTGGGCATATTTATAGAGGTCTATTTCTGAGTTTTCTATTTTGTTCCATTGATCTGCAAATGCCAGGTATATTAATTACTGTATCTATATAATAAACCTTAATGTCAGGTAGAGTGATTCTCCCACTGTATTCTTTTTTTCAAGATTCAAGACCCATTTTAAGAAATATATTTTATAGAATAGAATAAAAATACATGAACACACACACATATATATGAAACCCCTTCCATGCAAAAGATATCTTGATTATTTGTGAGGCACCTCACATTTTTTTCTAACCTACGATTCCATTCCATTTTTTCATAACAAAGTGCTGGTCATGACCTAGTACATTGACATCACCAATGGGTTTTTTTTCAACTTGCAGCTTAAGAAACACTGGACAAGAAGGGAGTGGAGAGTGGATATTTACCATCAATCCCCTGGGTCCTCGACAGGTGAAAGTAGCAATGACAGAGAGAAACTGAAGGTGCAACAACCATGAGGTTGAGGTTGCCCTCTTCACATTATTTTTTTTCCTAATTGGGAGAACAGCTTCTAAGAACATACAGCCCACTTTTGGGGTTGTTGTCTTACTAGGAGAAAATAAATGGTCTCTAAACATAGGTTTGTTTGCTTTGAAAATGGAAAAACCACTCAGCAAGAGTAAAAAGGTACTTGTTATCACGTTAATCAATAGGCCAATTATTTTACATATATTATCATCTTTTATGCACATACTGCCCTAAGACATATATATTGTATTTTCCATTTTACATATGAGAAAAATATAGCCTGTTAGAGATTAAGGGATTTTCTCAAATTTCACATCCGATAAGCAGCACAATTCAGAATCGAGCCTGTATTGGTCTCACGCCTTCTCCCCAGATGTCATGCATGAAGCTAAACTGGGCTCCATGGGAGGTCAATGTCAGGAGCTACAAAGGAAGGGGATGGACTCTTTTGGATGGTTTATAAGAAGGTTCTTAAAATGACAATGTAACAACCTACTTGGACTATGATGCTGAGAATCACACCTGAGCTGTACAAGGTCTGCATCACTGATGAAGATGCCACTGAATCGAGCCATCATACCAGCCAGGACTACTGGTCTTGTACATAAATAGGGAAAATTTTTTATCAGGTTTAAGTCACTTATTTTGGGTTTATGTTACAGTTGAATCCAATCCTGATAGAATCACTATCCCACAAGAACAGTGTCAGAAAAATATATATCCATCACATAAATCCACTTTTATAAGGGAATGAAGTCAAATTATTACCCCCAATAAAAAGGTGTTTTGCAACATGACCCAGGAACTTAGAAGCACCATTTGTTCATTGGTTCTTCTTGTCTCAGTCTCACACACACAGCTCCCTCTGGCCCCCATGGGCATATGTGAGAGCTTGGTTTGCATGATGGCAGGATATGAAGCGCTAGGGAAAGAAGAGCTTCCAAGGACAGTGTAGGGATTGTCAAGGTCGGGTCAGCAGTGTACAACCCTTCCCCCACCCCCACCCCGAAATTCTGTAGTCACAAGCAAGACGAAGAGCTCCCTTGTTTTCCCCTTTACTAAATGTCCTAGGACAAGGAAGAGAAAAGACAATGGTGGATACGTGGGCTAGAAGAAAAATGAAATATAAATGAATTAAATTCTTCACTAAACAGAAAAGTTCAAATTAAAAAAAAATAAAGAAAAATGTAGGATACTAATTTGAACCATAGCCCCATGTCTAATGCTTTTAGCCAAGGAAAGGAGAGAAAAGCAAAAGAAATCTGAGTCAGAGGGAAGATGTCATGGTGAGTTTCAATGGGATGAATTCCTTATTAATTTTAAAGAACACGATGCAACATGGATTTAATTATACAAGTCAACCCACCCACATTCCTCTGTTGCTTTTCACACACATGGGCTTCTGAGGATGATGAAAGGCGGGTGGGGAGAAAGGGAAAAGAAGGAAGAGCATGGGGTGGCTAAGGCCATGGAGAAGGGGCTCTCCCTCAGGGTGCAGGCGCTCTGGGCCTTCCTCTCTGAACTTGACAACCATGGGTGCCTCACTCTAGTCACTACAAGAGCGCCAGACCACATCAGTCTCAGCCCATCCATTTACCGTGGCTTCAAGGACACTTACATTTTGTTCTATTTACGGTGAAGGGGAGATTCTTAAAATTTTGAGAGATGGAGCAAAGACATATCACAAAGGAGACAGATAGAGCTTAGGAAAAATCTCTCAGCCACTTTTCATTTCCTGTGGAAGGCACAGCTCAATCTCACCAAAGTTTTCACTAAGAACAAACAAATCTATTAAAATGAAAGCGTTTAAGTGAATCAGAAAATGTTTTTAAATGTATATATATTAAACATTTTATTGATTTTTGTTAATCCTCACACGAGGATATTTTTTTTTTCTTTTTTAGAGAGAGAGAGAGAGAGAGAGAGAGTGGAAGGAAAGGGAAGAGACAGAGAGAGAGAGAAAAACATCAGTTGGTTGCCTCCTCAGGTGTCCTGACCAGCACTGGGGATCGGACCTGCAACCAAGGTACATGCTCTTGACCGGAATCAAACCCAGGACTCTTCAGTCCCTGCAGGCGGACACTCTACCCACTGAGCCAAACCAGCGAGGACTATATTTTTAATAACAATTGTTTTGGAGTAAAACATGATGTTTTGATATGCAAATATAGTGAAATGATTACTACAGTCAAATCCATCTCCACATTTTGGTTTTGTGGTGAGCACATCTGAAATCCACTTTCCTAGCAAATGTCCACTATACAGGATAGTTTTATCAACTATAGTCATCATGCTGCCCTGGACCGCAACCCACACAACTGCAGCTTTGCCGAAGCAGCATCTGCTTTCTCTAAGTCCTCCCGGGGGCTTTCTACCTGTGCTGTAATCAACAATAACCTGCAAACCGTTCAGGTGAAGACATCAACAATTTCCCATAATCAAGACCACATTGTTTCTGCCTGTTTTTTCTGTTCACTGTCAGATAACACCCCAGCGAATTTTAGCTGTCAGAGAGCCCCACTGACCATTCTGTGCCTATAGTTTATCTCTGGACATTTTTAGACTCTCAGACTGAGGACATCTCATTTGGAAGGGAATTGGTGGTAGAATGATGGACCCATAAAGTCCCCGGGCGGCAGCAGCTGAGTTCAGTTGAAGACAACAACAAAATCAGTCTAGCTCTTTTAAACAAAAGGATGCCAGACAGAGAAAGACATACTTAGAAAAACTTTGAAAGGCTTTAGGTCGGCCTCCACAAATGACTCCCAGAGCAACACCACTCAACTGGCTTTTCGGGGTAGCTGCTGCCTCTCCCGCCATCAGGAAGATGGAGGATTGGAAAAACTACCACTGAAACATGGCTCTAGGAACAGTCTTAACCATAATCCAGGACTAGGAGCTGCCTTCAGAACCATTGAATTTAGAACTGCACCATGTCTGCCATACCTGCACTGGCAAAATAAACGTCCATGCCATGCACTGCCTTCTGATCAGGACTCTATTTGGGGAAACTGGCTTTTTTTTTTTTTTTTTTTTTTTTTTTTACAGAAGGAAGAGGCTTGAGGTGAAATAAAGCAACTTCACTTGACTACCCTTCAAGTAGCTTCCTGGTAACTCATTTCAGGTTTTTCTGGTGTAGGATGACAATATTGAAAAGTCCAGATTACCTTTAAAAAGACTGGTGAACAACCATAATTACTGGGGAAACTACTCCATAATTGGAGGACCTTTGGGTGGTGGCAAAAGCAACAAGAATAAAGATAGTTCTAACAGCAGTTCCCGAGGAGGCAAGAGCAGCAAAGCAGCAGCAGCTGGGGGCTGGGCGCCACGGGGAGCCAGCTGCTATAAAACCACCACTGAAGGAGCACCTACTCTGAAGCGGGCAAGGTGCCAGGTGCTTTATAGGCCTAGTTAACTTTCACAGCTCTGACCTAAGAGAGAGGCGATCCCCATTTTGCGAGAGAAAACACTGAGTCTCAGGGGCGGGTGGTTTGCTCTCAGGCAGCATCTGGGTGTGCCACAGAAGCCCGTGGTCTTGCAGCCACACTACAGTAGGTCCTCGGTTACGTGGGAGATCTGTTCCTATGGGGACAGAAAGCGATCGCCTAAGTCAGAACCCACCTACATAAGCACCTACGTCACTCACATGGAGCACATACATAGCAGTAATGAAGTGAAACAGTAAAAACAAATTTAAAAGAAAGATAACAATTCCTGACCTTTACTTGTGGTAAATAAAAAATAAAAAACCTAAAGCACATATGTACATACGTCAAAATGACGGAACTTTTTTTTTTTTTTTAAATAAATGAATGGGAGATGGCAACGTAACCACGAAACGAGCTACGTGGAGTCGATGTAACGTGAGGACTGTCTGTATATGCCTCTGGAAAGGGGAGATTTGGAAGGAGCGGTATCCCGGGAACTTTAGCAGCACGGAGGTGCGAATG